ACTCACATGAGTATATAAGAACATTGCATGAGTACTTCACTTACTGTAAACAAAAACGACTAACCTCACTCTTCAGGGATGTAGCCGCTGTTCCTCGAAGTGTGGGATCTAAAGCAAGTAGGGATTCAATGAGCTTTGTGGCAGCAGATGGATATTCTTTAAATGTTTCAGCAACACAACGCCTATAGTGGTGGGGAGGCCTGAATACTGTTGAATGTGGTGACCGAAGCTTACGCCAATAGTCCTCAGATGGTGAGCCACAAAGTTTAAAAATCCTATGCAATTGCTCAACCTACAATTAACAGAAATTAAACTTCAGGCACCTAGCTCTGTTACTATAATAATATCAATTTGAGAATTGACTATATTGGTTTAGAAATTGAAACCGTTCACATCAGTGAAGAGACCACTTGAAAGTAAACATTGAACGTATTTATGATGAAGACCAGATTCTTAATACCTCTGTTTTTCCAGGCAAAATAGGCCTGCCACAATATAATTCCCCCAGTATGCAACCAGTGCTCCACAAATCTACTGCAACTCCGTAATTAGATGCTCCGAGTAAGAGTTCTGGTGGTCTATACCACAGAGTTACTACACGGCTGGTCAATGGAACCTTGTGATGGGGGTCAATAAAATTTGCCAGACCAAAATCTGCAATCTTTAAGGTGCCATTGTTGTCAATAAGAAGATTTGAGCCCTTTATGTCACGGTGGAGGACACCTCGACTATGACAATGATTCAATCCACTAAGAAGCTGCTGCATATAGCATTTAACCTGAGAGAAAGATCACTTAGAAATCAAATAACTCATAAGAATAAGTGCTTCCAACTATTAAATCTGACATCAGTATGCAGAAGAGTTAATGACCAATTATCCCAAAATCTTAAGCTGTTAGGCAAAGGCTCATTAATGGTTTTATTACATCTTTAACATGTTTGAATTAGGGACAATGCACAGGCGCAATTCTTCCATGTGCTGAAATTCAACTTTTCATTTTAGAAGAATCTAGGAAGCAAAGATCAAATTCCTAGCAACTTTGTTCATAAAGCTTTGATACCATGTCAATGACAAAATATCCCAGATGTTCAAATTGTTAAGTGAAGGCCATGAATGGTTTTATTACGTCTTAACTAGAGGAATCTTGACTCCATGTAAAACAGAAGACTGCAAGAATATAAGATATATCATCACTACCTGTGGTTCGGAAAACTTAATGGTAGGACTTGATGCAAGTCCTGTAAGATCATGTTCCATGTATTCAAAAACAAGGTACAAGCTGCGAGATGTCTGCGACGTTATCAATCCTTCCAACTTTATTATATTTGGATGGTCAAGCCTACGCAGAACAAGGATTTCCCTTGCCATAAACTTGACACTCTCAGCATCGAAATTATCAAAGCGCACCCTCTTCAATGCAACGATCTTTTGGTGAGTCAAATCACGTGCCTTATACACAGAACTGTAGGTTCCTTGGCCAATCTGCATGGTCGAATGCCATCCCACGAGTCGTTTAATAAGTGAGAACAAAAAACATCATTAACCATTTAGAATAGAAGAGAATACTATTTCTTTTTCACTCAAAAATAAGTTTAATCACCCTAACTCACGTTTTTCATTCTCTACTTTTGACAAAATCTTTAATAATGAAAAATAATCCTGAACTCATATCCATAAACAAATCACTGCAAAATAAAATGTACAGAGTCCAGTGTACGAAGGACTTAGTTATTGTTAAAAAAAGTTAAAATGAAAACTATCCAGTCACTTGTTGAGCTGAGCTCTTTCCTTTTTAGCTGTTAGAAAAATATACAAAAAAAGGTAGATATAAGCTGCATCTAAGCTTCATACACCAACAAGAGCACAGGTTTCTGAAACAGTCGTTAACAAAAAGTATCATATTCTGAAATTTAAAAATTAGGGAACAATTTTCCATGTTTCCCTCGCATCCACGAAGCACTGGTCATCAGCCAAAGGATTAATTTCATAAACATACAATGTTTTGAAACTATTGACAAGTGCATTCACATGAAGGTAACAGAAATTGGTGAAATACACGACAGTTGAATAATAATACAATCACAGAGTATGCAGCCAAGGTGAAAACTTACTTTACCAAACCTCTCAAAAGTATCTGCCCTCCGTGGTATCCACCCTTGGATAGCTTCACCAGCAACAGAAGAAAGCCAAGTTGGCCAACCTGCTGCAACTTGCTCTCCCTCTAAACCCTTCGGAACCCTTCCAACACCAGGATGATCAAGAACAGCCGATTCAGGTTTCTCCTTTTTTTTCTTCCCATTCTGAGAATCAAACAACCGCCTCGAACCATCAGATTCCTTGCCAATTAGTGAAACTTTCATATCAGCACCATCTAAAACCTTATCTTTCCCCCAAACTCCATCGACCCTTTTCTTGGAACCCAATGCAGAAATCTTCATCTCAGATGTCCTTCTGCTAGATGAAGTCAATTCCCTTGCCACACCCTCCCTGCTGTCATCAACAGCTGCACTCTTGGAAGCTATGCACCCCATGTTGCACCAAGAAGCTATTATTAAACTATACAATAATATTATTATCCTTCAATCAAGAACCACGATCGCAATCTTCCACCTACAACTCCATCATGCAAGTCACCAACTAATGCTCATGCATCAATTTGTTGTCGTCCTTCCAAAAAATAAAGCTGGGAATTTCCCCTCCTTGAACCCTTAAAAATAAAAAATGGAAAAAACCACGCTTTCTCTGCCCTCTTTTGAAACTTTCAAACTGACCCAATTGCAGAGTCAGATATTCCAATCAAAGACGCAATTCAGAACCCTCCAGTAACACTGTGCCAACAATTGTCAACATTCAAAAAAAGAGGGTGGTGATGATCCTAACACTGGTAGACAAGGTATGATAAAAATGATTAATAAAGAAAATAGTCGGAACGAGAAAAATAAAAACTTGAGTGGATCTTTAAAATGGGGTTAAGGGTAAGAATGGAATGGTTGGTGAAAAGCTTAATATGAAAGAAATTGTTGGATTTTGGTAAAAGTTCAACGCGTATTCATAATTTCATAAATTAGGGAAATGAAATATTAATATCTCCCTAACACGACGGCTTTTGCCGACTAAACTCAGTCAACAGACCCTTCTCTTTTCTCTCAGGGGCCGAGTCTGCCATTGACGTTATGCAAGGAACAAATTTCCCCCTTTGACGGATTAATTTTATTTTTAAAACTAAATATTTTATTTGTAAATCTCAAATAACTGAATTTTTTTATTAATTTATTTATTCAATATTTTCATTAATTAAAAATACTACAAGAAAAATATATTTATATTCAACTTTTCCTAAATATATATATATATATATATATATATATATATATATATATATATATATTTATTTATTCATGCCTTATTCATGAAAAAATAAGTTCATGATTTTGTTAGTACTTTTTAAAAGCTAAATTAGAATGCATCATGCAATTAGTAATATTTTAGTAATCGCTCGACTTATTTAGCCTGAAAATACTTTACACATAGCTTTAGATATGTAATCAATTAATATTTTAGATATTTTTTAAAAAATACTTATGGTATTTTAAATCCGTGAAATGGTTTGAAGAATTTATTTTGCTAGTCTCATGGGATCATGCATGAAATGAAATGCATCTCCTAGACAAGTGAGAAAATATTAAAAATTATTTTAGTAAAAAAAAATTCTGAATTTTGTATTCTTAATTTATAATATAAGAGTGGTCCACTTTGACTTTGTATTCTTAAAATAATTTTAATTTTATTTCCAGAACACATTTATATAGCCAACATTATATTAATCTGAGTGAAATGAGGTCTAGTTTCTTTAAGTAAGTATTGAATTTGAATTTTATGAATGTAAAAAATATTAAATTATTAATTAATTAGTTCCTCTGACTGTAATTAATTATCAACAAATTAATTAATATGTTGTATTCTATTTTTGACAGAATTAATATATTATACTTATAGCACTATGAAACAAATATTTAAATGAATAACTTAATTAAACATTTATTTAATATTTTTTTATGATAGAAAGTTTATATCACAAATCATTCTTATGCCTAAGTTTAATTTACATGTATAGTTAAAAAAAATATACATAAACTTCATTTATTAAAGAAGAGTAACGTAGTAAAATGCTCAGATTATATTAAATGTTGGTGGGAAAAATATTGTATACCTGCCAATGAAAGGACATAATTTAAATTCCTTATACGTTTCGGTAGTTTTGCATTAATATTAATTTTAAAGGGTTATCTCATCTCATAATCAATGAAACGGATAAAAGACCAAAACAAAATCCATTTAAACGGATACATTTTAAATTTTCTGTTTTTTTCTTATTCATTGCAAATAAAAAAATTATATTCAAGTATTACAAGTTCAAATGCTTTTTTATTTTATGATGATTATTATAAAATTATCAAAATGAAATAACTTTAAAAAAAATTAAGTAAGAAGTTATGTCAAGTTATTATAGTTTTACGCGGAAAAAAATCATGTCATGTTAAAATGATTTTATTTTAACTAAAATAAAAGCATGCTAAGTCAAAATAACTTTTATAAAAAAAGTTGAAATTATCTTAATAAATTTGATAAAACACAAAAATCGTTTTAAACCATAACAAGTTCAATTTTTTCATAAAAGTTATCTTAATTTAGTTCAACTTTATTTCAATTAAAATAAAATCGTGAACAAACTTCTTCTCTACGAAGTTTTTAAGTTAACACGACTTTTTCAAATTTGAAACTTTTTTAAAAATTAACCCTTTTAATAATTTCAGAATAAAATAAAAAATAGGATAGTGTGAGATAATACTTTACCTTTCTTTTGCATTTTGCTATTTATATTTATCTGCATTCAGTGTAAATTTACGAAAATAGATATGGAAATTAAAACACAAATGTTTATATGAGAATGAAAAACTGAAGCAGGCGAATGAAGAAAAACATGTTATTTATTTTCCTTCTAAAATGAAGGAACAAAAAAAAAAAAGAATGAAAGAATAGGAAAAAAGGTGAAAGATGATGATATAACAATGGAGGATTTGATCACCAGGGTAATATGGTTTGCTTGTGCCTGTAGTGTGGGGGCACGCTAGGGAAGCAAGGAACTCCAGTAGCCCGAACCCAATCAAGTCCATGAAAGAACTTGGAAGGTGAGAACAAACGTGCAGCTTTTGAATTAAGGTTCAAAATCCCATTCCAATTCACACGCTTGGATTTGTCTGAACCAGGACCGGTGTTGTGATACTCTGCATAAAAGCAAGTATCCATACCAATGGGTCCTTCTAATGCTTGCCATGGCAAATATCCTTCACCTTGAATCAAGTCATCGATGTACGTATCCATGAAAATGGTCCTCGAGTATATCTTCCATGGACGAGCTAGGTAAGCTTTGTTAACAAATCTTACTGGGTAAAACTCAGGGTCAGCCACAATGGAACCTCCTTGGATCACTATTGCAGAAGGTTGTTCTTTCTCTTTTCTACCTTGTGCAGTCACAATGCATTGTTGATTTTCCATTGGCTTTCGGACCACGAAAGTGCAATTCTGGAAAACAGCAAGTGCATTTCCGAACACAAAGTCGATGGTACCAGAAATGGTGCAATCCCTGTAATACTGACGTAGGGTGTGTACGTAAAGTGTGTCTTGATACCCATCCATTGAACAATTGAAGAACACAGACTTGTCTGCTTGAACTCTCAATGCCACTGCCTGATGCTTCTCAGCTCCGGCAGAGTTCTCAAATCCCATGTTCATGGCCACGAAGTTATCTCCTTGAATAGCTGCATGAATATATATATATATATATATTTTTAATTAATATAGAATTATTAAACAAAGATATAGAAAAGAAACATGAAAGAAGACGTACCAACGGTGGCAGTTTTATAAGTGGTGATTCCATCTATGTAGTTTTTGTTGCCTGTTATTCTTGTCTTTTTGCCACCATCACCGATGAAAACCACATGAGTCATATTCTTTTTCACTTCAACATACTCTTGATAGATGCCCTCCTTGATGTAGATCACAAATGGCGTTTTATTTTTCCTTGGCACACTGTTCAGTGCCTCATTAATGGTTATGAAATCTCCACTGCCATCTTTCGCTACCGTCACATTAGGTTTGCGATTCAATATCAGTGTTTCGTTTAGTCCTCCATTATCAACCGATGATGGTGACTCAGAATCTTGAAGGAGACGACGTCCTAGTAATTTTGTGGCATTAAAATCTGTGAAAGTATCAGACAATGCTGTTATGATGGAAAGACCATTGCTAGTCATATGCATGCCTGTCGTTAATAAATCCTGCATCTTTTTACCAGCATCGCTGGTGGTGTTCTCAAACTCATCCAGGCAAGTGTCTTGGTATGTAAGTGCACCACTTAGCCAAACTTTTAAGTTCATGAGGATTTTATCAACACTCATCAGGTTAAACTCGCTCATTCCAATAAATGACCTTTCTAACTCCGAAACCGAAAGATCCATGAGTTGTTTGCATGTTTCCAGTGCCATCTTCGCTCTAGGCTCCTTCTCAATGTCATGCAAGATATTCATTTCTTCGAATTTATCAGTAATTTTTTCGATGGTGATATTGAAAGCAAGTTTGATAAGTTCATATGGATCTGTTGTTGTTCTGTCTCCGACACCTGTCATGAGATTTTTCTCACATTCTTCCTTGTAATTTGTGGGAAGACAAAGGGTTTGGACAGCTTTTACAGAGGCAGCAACATGTTGATTTTTGTTATTAACATTCTCTTTATCACCATTTTCATTTGAACCACTCTCAACGAGGTTGAAACCAAATACGATAGCCCCAACTACAGCCACCAAGAACAAGGTTGAAACACCAATGATGATCCTCTTTCCCTTATCAGCATTTCTCTCCGACATTTCAAGTATGTATAGTTCCTATATCATACGTGGATTCAGTGTAAAGTTAGTAAATGTGACAAAACAAAATAAACATGACATTTCATAAACAAGTTTTTGATTCTGAACACGATCTTGTTTTATTTTGACCCTCGTCTTTTACTGCTATTACGACATGCATGCATATAACGTTAACAGTTAACAACAATTTTTTATTCTTTTTAATTTTATCAGCACGATTAACAACAATGTGCTATCTGTTTACATATATAATGTCATCATCAATAAGGATAATTTTAGAAATTCTAAATATTCAAACAAATAAACAATTTTTATTTTTTAGAAAGATTCAAAATCTAATAAAGTCACCTAGGCATAAAATAATCATATAATATTGCATTGAATGAATAATAAGTAATGTGTATATTTTGTGTGAAACAAGAACCTTACTGATTAAAAGTGGAGAGAAATGAGATCCCTATTCTGTGTCTGAGTCTTTGGAGGAATATGTTTTCCTTCAAATGTTGAGATGGTGGAGAATTATTATATACTCAAAAAATTGTACTTAACTCCTAATTAAGGTGAATCGTTCTAATGCCATTCATGTTTGGTCAAAATACTAAATAATTGTCTTTTCTAAAATAAGAGGAATAGATAAAAATCACATATATATACTTATCTTTTCTAAAATAAGAAGGGATAAAAAAACACATACTAAGTTGAGTATATATAATTGGTATTAGTGCAATTAATGTTTCGTTTAAAGGCCAAATAATTGCCTTTTTAAAATAAGAGGAACACACATAAAACACATGTATTAAGCTATATATATATATATATATAT